TCCACTCACTCAAGCCTCATTTTTTTTTTGTTCTAGTTTCTTCCTCTTTCGTTTATTATTATGAATTTTGGATGGTTTTTAAGCTAGTAAACCTTCTTTGTTGATTTCTAAAGTATGGATTGTATTTGAAGTTTAATTTAAATCAAAGTTCGTTCCTTAATGCAAAACAGAACTTCTATTATCTCATTTTATTAAAAAATCTATTGATGTACAAATGAAATCGAATTATGAATTTTGTAACTTTTGATGATATTATAAGTGAAACTTCTTTTGAAAGAAGGATTTTTGAATTTATTCAAAGGAAAAGATCTTTTTTTTGTTAATTCATAATGTACATATATAAAATCAAATACTCTTTTTAGTGCAAAATACATATCAGACCTACCTTATCAATAGAGATTGATGATACATATCAGAGAAGAGCGCGTAGTGGTAAAGATTTGGATTCTCCAAGTTCTCGATTCTCGGGAATTTTCTCATTGGTGGAGGAAGGAGATAATACTCTAGAATCAAGCGCATGGTCAAGCAATGGATAGCATCTGGTAGTGATTTTGAAGCTAGCTGAGTAAAGAAAGTTATATAAGTTTGCGTGTACTCAAGTTCTTCTTCAGCTGTTTGTAGCATTGCTCTCAGCTCTTCTCTCGTGTCTCAGGCTCTTGAACAACACAAGTGGATATAACAATCAGATAAAGCAACCGAAAGATGAAAGTATCAAGCATGCGAAAGGCGTGTAAAAGAAAGATGAAAAGTTACCCTTTCGTTCAGCTTCTTTGGTGTATTATCATAAAACACTTGCTCCTTTTCCTATCCAAGTTCCATAACCAAACTTAGGAACCATTTGACCCCTTTTTTTCCCTTTAAACAGTAAATGAAAGATCCCACAAGAATCAGTAACTTAGTCAAGATAATCAAAATCTAATTATGATTAAAGGCAAATGAATGAAGGTATAAGACGTATCGTCTGTTTTTACATATGAACGGTATCAATTGTTGATGATTCCATTCACTCTCACTTCTATAAAATGGTTGGAATCTCCATAACTATGTAGGTTTGAAATGAAAAACATGGAACTAAAGGGTAGTGAACTCGGCTCTGTCATAGGGTCCCTTGGGGAGTTCCTCATCGGACTCGCGGTCCTAATTATTGCTCTACTAAATGGGTATCAGTTGTATATGTGGATGAAGGGGAGAGTTGCTCCGCCGTCTCCAACTCCTCAAGCTCCCCCGCGAGTTCTACCTCAGCTTCCAGTCTCGGTTCCTTAAGGAAGGAATTCGCAATAGTGTATTTTGTTTTTCTTTCTCGTCGTCTTCTCGAGTGATTTCTCTTATATGAAACCTCAAGTTGATTATATATACTGTAATCATCATATATATGAAAATTAAATCTTCGACCCAAACAAATACTCGAGATTTATAAGAGCATGTACATTGAAGAGTTCTCAAACAATTATATAATATTAATACATAAAATATGTTTAAGATCTAAAAAAAATACTGATAAAATAAATATGAATTTATAAAAATACTAATAGTTTTTATGTTTTTTGTTAAGCTTTATAAAAATGATCAAAATATTAAACCTTTGTTTTTTGTTTGCTTAAATATATTTTATGTTTTGCATATATTTTACTTATGTTTTGCATAAAAACTAATTATTCCAAATTTATTTCAATTTAAAAAACTGTTAAAATTTAAGTAAATAAAATACATGATCTATATGTTTTGTCACTATACAAAAAAATGAACCATGATTTGCTTATATGATTTATCATGATCAACTAATGTTTTGC